GGCATCTTGGCGCGCACGAGGGCAATGACATGCAAATGCGCCCCCTTAGAAGGCTCAAAGTCCACCCACAGCTAAATAGGTGACTCGCACGGTACTGATCTTTGCCAACAACTTCTCACATTATTAACACGATGCAAATGCGGGCATTCAACCGATGGAGTCAAGAACGTATTTTTGCGACTATAAAGAGTCGTAAGACACACTAAGGCGAGTACGATCTACCGCTGCTTTGTTTGATGGAGAGGCAGCGTGCTAGGAGTCCAGTCCAACCTACACTTTGCCCAGCAGATGCCAGTCCAGTACAGGAGTTGACCAGGGCGCTCGAGAAAGAAGGGCGGTGGTTTCCACCAGATCGCGAGAAGAAGGACTGAGAAGTGACATTCTGGGCCGCACAGATTTCCTTAACTCAGCACGGGCATGCGATGTCGGTTGCTTTCTTCTTCTACCCCTTTTGAGAGTACCATGGGTTAACCAAATGATGAACGGCTCCGAAAGGAGGCCTTGCTGCTTAGGTCGTTTGCTTTGTTAAAACCACCGCTTTTGGTTCATTGATTTGGGCCACACCACAGGCGGAGCAGATCCACAAGGATGCTCAGGAGATTCAAAAAGATCGGATACGTCGGATACCCAAACACGAGGCACGGAAGAAAGCAAAAGCAAGATTTCCCAAGGCCGGAGTCACTTCTGCTGTCATGTGCCGTTGTGTGCACAACTCTCAACCAATGAGCCTACACATTCCTGGAACCGCTTGGAGGGGGGTGACAGCTTGAACCACAAGACCCAGACGGATAGCGAGCTGCGTAAGAACTTGAGTGATAATGCAGAATCTTGGAGGACATGAGGACATGTTTCTTCTTCTGTGAGTTGTTGACGAGGAAGGGAGGTCAGTCAATGCACTGCAAAACTGCTCCAGACACCAAGGAGCTGGTGTCAGGTTCCAGAAACCAATTGCTGGAACGCATCCTGAACCTGAACCGCAGTGGCCACAGAACTTCAGAATATTTGATTTGAAGATGGCAATCTACTTCACAGTTAGATAAATGACTGCAAGCAGAGATGTCCATTTCTTGATTGTTTACGGTCTAGATCCTATTGTCTATTGTTTGGCCTCACAAAGCCCACTAAGACTGAAACACAAGTTGGGCGTAGTTTGAGTTTTGTAGTTGCCGTGGAGCATGTAGAAAAGACGACGTGTCGTTTGTTCCTTTGTCCTTTCAAACGCCTTTTCCAACGCCAAAAGAACAATGAGGCTTATGTGTTGCTTTCATTCAGGAACATGACAGTACTAGTCTTTCCTTGAAGGATCCAATTGCCCTACCAGGCCCATTGCGACAGGGATCAGCGTCTTCCGCTCCACATGCTCCATCCGCTCCACCGAAAATGCTTTCCTTTGCGGCTTCCTTGTGTGGATCACTTTTGGTTTTTGCACAAAAGTGTCATCTATGTGTTTCAGAGACCAAAGGTACTGATACTGCAAGTATGACGAGAGGTAGCCCTCAGGGATACCTTGAGTTTGTCTTGTGAAGCAACAGTTGGATCGTCCAGGTCTAATTACTTATTCATCAGTTTGAACCCACCCCCCTGAATTGGTTTATCAATTCCAGCCCCCCTCGGCTCAGCAACATTATGAATTATGAGGGATCTACAACACTCGGATCAGCACCGCATCATCAGATCAGCAACTCTCGGATCAGTGGATCATTGGCTCGATCATCGGTCCTGGTATCACCAACTCTCACATCAGCGGGAATCATTGGTTTGATCGGATCAATCAAATCATCGGATCGATCATGATCGGAGCAGATTATTGGATCGGTTTCCAAGATTTGTGATTTGGCACACCTCCCCAAGATTTGGGCCACGGCACGAACAGACTAACATCCCTCCAAACGCTTCCCCTAGCAGACTGAGCACATTTGAGCACCATAATTTGGGGTGCCCTATGGGTGCCCTGGCCTATATGATCTATATGGGCCGTGGCCGCCCACCCAAAAGTTTGCAGGCACTGGTGTGAGCATCAACAGTTCAAACGGGCATTATCGAGGCCTTGAAACGCAACCCAATCCCCAGAGCTGGAACCCGAGTTCCACTAATGAAATGACCATCTCAAGACAGGAGTGAACTAAAGTTTTTCGAAGTACTTGACATTCATGCTTGCAAGAATCTTCAAATGATTTTTTTTCTGGACTACTTTGTTCCACGCTCGCTATGATTACTCCACGACAGCATTGTCCTAATCTTTATTCGGCCGTTTGCCGCGGCACAGAACCATGCCACGTAACTTCCACCTGCCACGTCCGACTGCCATCGCCTACCCATGCCTACCCTTTACTGCCGTTGTCCTTGTCAATTGAACTGGGTTGGTAGACATCCTTTAGACATTTGAATCATGTGAGCGACACTTTTGCTTAACCTTAGACCACTTGACATTGCGCTTTATATTGTCCATATTCTCTTGGGCAGGCGTGATGTAGCACGGGAGTGTTTCTCTAACACTGGGTATACCGTCCAAGCTTCGCCAGGCCGTTCTCTATCGAGTGTAAGCCCAAAAGCCACCATTTAGAGTTTGCTTATACATGTCAACGCACTTTCATGCAAGGCTGAAGGCACAAGGTCACAAGACCGTATATTTTGTTGACTCCGAAGCCTCATTTGCGCCTCATTTGCGCTGCTTAAGAGCGAAACAAGTAATAACCAGAAAGTACACGAACGTATGCCGGGAAGACGCTCCCCGATTTGCCTTCTAACAATGGCTTCCAAGCAAGCTGGTCTGAAACTGTCCTTGAAACTCCTTGCTCGCTGCGCAAATGAAAGTCTTGAACGGCTGAGCATAGCTCATGAAGCTGAGCAGGGAACCTGCCAAGAAGAGATGTGTTGAAGCAGGAGGTCCTGCACAGACGACAGGTTCGCAGTATTTGGAAGGAGGGTCATAAGCAAAAGGAATAATTAGTGGGAGCGGAGATGAGAAACTGGAGCCTTTACCGATCTTTATCGGCCTCCTCCTTTAGTAGCTCTGAATCTGACTCGACCATACCTGAGGACTATGCAGAGCTCTTAAGACAGCCCCCAGCATAATATGTGGTGTGCAAGACTTATTACAGTAAGACTTCATAATACACTCACCGGAAGTACATGGACCACATAAGAAATAAGCAGATGCTCGTACCGTATGAGTACCTTGTCCTTCGGGAGTTGAGATGTGATTCTTTGAAGGCCAGGGCCGGGGCCGGACGTTTCAGTCAGTTGTCCCGTTTGATAAGGAAACAACTACTCAAATTGGACAAAGAAGGAACTTGGCGAGGAAAGTCTTCGACTTGGAGCCCCGGCCCGGTCACCAGGGCAAGTCTCGCCTTGACGTTCAATCATGAAAAGTTTTTATTAAGCAATTTTATAAATATAAAGATTATATTGTCAGGTTGTCAAGTTCACGGCCACCACATATGTTGCCAGGAGCATCTCCAATCCAAATTCACCCGGCAGGGCAGCTAAACAGCTAAACGTGACCCACAGACAACAACCGATTCGCTCAACCTCAGAGATTCTCCGAATTGCCATGAATTGCCTTATGCTTATGCTGCATGCCTTTGCATGGTTCTTGATGAGCGGTCACCGCCGCTGACTCTACACTACACAATAATTAATACTAATACAGTTGTTTTGAATGGGGCGATGCCCTTTGCTCCTAGTTGCTTCTTGTTCCTAGTAGCGATGCCAGGAGCCTCTAGTAGCGTCCTTGCTCCTAGTAGCGATGCCCTTTGCTCCTAGGTTGCGGTTCTTATGATTCATGAGGCTTTGTCAATGGCCCTTGCATCCACCTGAAGCCTTGGTCGATGAACACCCGTCCTCCACTTCCCAATAGCTAAAGGGAACTCCTGCCGTTTAAATATAGGGTCGTGAAGCCACCATTACCATCCAGCATGTTGAGTGAACACATGCGACCACCACACACAGCCAACAATGCCAAGGACATCCAAGGACATTGTGACTGAATTTGTTTGTAGAATGCCACAAGCTTTGACCATTTCCAATCCGAAGCATACCTATATAAAAGTATTGATGGTCTTTGTGGATGCTGCCATTTCACATTTGGTTCCACTAGATTCGAGACGCAATAGGCTGGAGGGAGTCAAATCCATATCCGTTTTCACCACAGTCTCGCCAGCTCAGGAATGCCAGTGCTTGAAAAGGTGGCAGACATGGTCGCAGGCCTCAAGGCAAACAAGATCCACTCCTTGAGCGATGAAGATTTGTACTACGAGTGCCTCGTTTGACATGGCAGACCAACAGTCACAACAAGCGCGTTTGAGTTGCCCCTGCAGACACATTGAGGATGTTGGTTGAGGAACGTCCTGCAGGGATGAAGCATGTCAATATTTATTCTTAGCATCGCAGACTTTCACCCATTTGCTCAGGCTGGCTTATCGAAAAGTGGATTACAGCGAAAACCGACAAGAAAATGAATCCAAGCTTCTTGATGCCTTGAGTGGCCGTATAAACTGGCGATCCTGAGAATCCTGAGCGCAGTTTTAGCCACCGGTGGCAAACCGGCAACCAAGTGGACCAAAAGTGCGTGCCTGTGTGTCAACGGCCAGTCGCACTGCAGATTCAGCAGTAGGATCAATTTTGAGAGGCTTTTTTGATGAGAGGAAATGATGCACACTGTTGTGTTGTGTTTTTTGGGGAGGGTAGCATCCCAATCGGTCAATAGCGTGTATGTAGGATTCAACATGAGCTTGCTGCTTCCGCCAGCCACCAACACTTGGTTTATTTGACAGAACTACGAACTACGACTACGGCATCTACTGATATCAAAAACAAGGAACAAATTGTTCCTTCTTCATGCACGCAGATAGACAGACAGTGGTTGGAGAAAGCAAACCAGGAGAAGGGCGAGGCAAACAATCCTTTTCGCTAGCTACCTTCTGGATCTACTTTAGGCAAACTGTTGTGGAGATCCCTTGGAGATCCGTGATGCATTCCAAGTTCAAAGCGTTTGCAAACGATTTTGCACAGCAGACCTTGCCACCCATGCACGCCAATTGCAAGCATTTCTCGGCATGTGAGTCGAACTGCTCAAATGGATTCTCGACACACAGAGCCTTGGCACCATTCCAGTCTCTATAGACCGTGCAATTGACAAGTGCAAAGGCTTTTTAGATCTTTTTAGACATTACTCGAACGAGCTGAGGGTCGATCACTCAGCTTGGGAGGACGTGCCCTGCCATGATTTTATTCGAGATTGCATTTTAGAAGTGCATGACATTAAACTATTGCAGTCGACAGGTTCTGGCGCTTCCTTGAGCTCGGTGCATGTTCAACAGGCTTCCATTGTACTTCCTCACGGGAGATGTGTGAACATTGTGAACTCACGAGCAAGTGTGACCAAATTGCAGGATTTCTGTGATCCAGATGAGCCACGAGCTCAAAACTGAAAATGCCACGCAGACTAGTTGCTCATGGTTGATGGCTTCGCTGCCGAGGTACTTCAGAGTAGTCATACGAGTCCGTCCTCCATTGGACCGCGAGCTGTGTTCACCTGTTTGGCAGCATGTTGTGTGGCTTGTGTGCAGATTGGGACAAGTTGCAATAATAAATTGACGATTCGGAGTCCCAATAAGGAATAGTCCCAGCAAAATATCAAAATAAGGAACAGTCCCACATGCACACAGACAAAGAAGCTGACAACAGTCTTAACTTCGGACATGTAAAATGCATGTTGAGGTCGGTGCCGGGGACCACACAGAGCCTCAGCCTGGCACAAAGTCAGTTCCCAACAATATTGCTCACAGTGGGCGGCACGTTTGCATACTTTTGATTTTGATGCAGCGCAACAACATTGCCCCTCAGGATATGTTTATATGAGACGGTTCCCGAAATGAATGCCGCCGATAGAGCAAGCGGCACAAGCCAGGTTGTCAACACTCACACCTTTTCCTTTGACCATGTGCAGCATGGCTTGAAGCATTTTTTTTGTGGGGCAAATGCCATGAGAGCTGATACGAGCTGATACTTTGTGATTTGCGAGGTACGATCAGAATGCATCCCAACCAGACGTTTACGAGAGCACTGCACGTACATCTGCCACTTAGTTGTTGTGAAATGATTTGCAAAACTTGCTTCTAAAGTTCGCATGGTCAACCACTTGTAGGTGATGTCAGCTCTACGAGGCTACAATGCAACAATCCTGGCCTACGGGCCAACTGGAACTGGAAAGACCTACACCATGGAGGGCAGCCTTCGTCCAGACGGACATGGCATAATCCCACGATCCATGGAGGAGTGTCCGCCATAAGGTTGACATAGTGCGCGGTCACAAAAGCAACGTCAGATGAGATCATCAGCTGAAGTAGCAGGAAGCAGTTGGCCCAAAAACTGATAGAGCACTTTCAAGAATATATATGTGTGTGAATATATCGAGTATATACAGTATATATTTATATGTGAGTCTTCGTAGACCTTTAACTAAACCAGGGCGGCTCGTATCTACCTTGGTACAGTCAGTAGCAGCAGCACTGGCAATGGCGGCAGCAGTGTTTACAGAACAAGCAATCGTAGTTGCAACTATAGTTTAGTTGGGTTGGTGGAAGGCTCATTTCCCGGAGTTGCACGGGCAGTCGAGGTCCATTGAGGGTTGTTGGGTTGGTAGGATGGACTGCCTGACTTTCCCACTGCTCCTCGAATCCAATCCCTCCATTCGCCCGGTTTGCGGTACCCGGTTCCATCAGATTGCAATCCGATCTTGGACAATCTGCCTGCAGTCTTACCTGGCCTTACCAGACAGTCAGACAGCCACAGACAGACAATGAATCCGCCCGCACGGGGTGTGATTGTTGGGGCGTGTGCACTGAGTTCTTGGAGCGTTAGCTCGGCGTTAGCTAGGGGGCGTTCAGAGTAGATGGCACAATCCCCCAAAAGGTGGTTTATATGGACCCCCATCTAAAAGACATGTAGGTGTTTGTGCCATCTACTCTGAAACCACTGTAATTCGATGTGGAGGTGGTGTGCCCTATGATGTGGGACAGGATGTGGAGTTGCGTACTTGCAGTGACAAATGATCCAAACTGTTCAACGGAATTGTTGATTTGCCTTTCATTGACCTGGTTACAATTTTCAGGGGGGACCAACTTTTTATTTGATGATGCCTGCAAATTTAGTACCGATTCACCTCTAGGCCTTATAATATCGATCAATCTCTTGACATTCTATCAATCATACATATTATAATCACATGCATTTTTTCAACCTAGAGCTAACAAGTAGACGTATACAGAAACTAAAATAAAGCATGCATTGTTGGATATCAGTTGGACCCCGTGAAAGTGTACAATTTCAAGGGGGTCGAACGATTGAGTGGTTGCAACAAACCATCTAGAGTCCTGCTCATTCGGTTACGCATCACCTGGGGTGTTGGTTGGACATGAAAAACCTTTCCTTGCGCCCTTTGTCGAAGCAAACGGCGCGTCCGGTTGTCGACGCGAAGGGACATGAATAATCACCAATCACTGCAAGTCACTACAGATCATGTGAAACCGCCTACACATCACAGATGGCCAAAGATCACCCAAAAAGAATGGCTTTAAGAAAAGGAGACACCTTGGAATCTCGGACGTAAGGTCATTTGTTTTTTCTCAAATCTTCCAGACTCTGGATCACGAGGTGCTATGTGACATGGAAGGAGAACAACGCCCCTTTGCAAAACCATGTTCCTGGACAAATTGGGCGTTGTCCATTTCCATGTTTGTTGAAAAGAACCACCAAGCCGCCACAAAGCCAGGTCGTGAAAGATAGCAAGGCGTAGCGTACCCCGAATTTCAACTCAAACCCCGAGGCAGCAGAAAGTCGTGCACTCGAGTAAACATGATTTGGTGAGTAAAGAAAATCCTTCTGGTTTGTGACTTCTCCCAGGAGAGGAAGCTCTCACCACAGTGATTTGCTTTGATCACATTAGAAGGGCACCCAGCAGAGCTGATAAATCAAGATACTGCAATCAAGGTGCTCGGTTAAAACCCTTGTCACTTGTCTCCTATGCTTGTCTCGACATGGCGGTGGGCATGATAGATAAATTGATGCACTTCTTGCGTGGATTTCTCACAATGTAACACAGGACCTTCACAGGCACGTGGAATTGTGCCGACTGAAGCGGCCCTGACAGGATATATTTGAACATATCAGGAGTGCTAGAAATGAGCATTCAGCTTTCGAGGCAGGAAATCTGCCAACATGGCGATACGGACACGACTAAGAATCTAGGAAAGGCTCTTTGATTGGGAAGCTTTGTGCAAGCTGCAAGTGTCAAGACGAGGAACGTTTAGGAGGAAAGCTGGACTTGCAATACCAGTAGCAAGTGCCTACTTCAAGTCAAGCATTTGGGCCCCTGGTCGGCGCAATCGCTTGCAGGTTCGAGCATCATACCTGCAGATTTACAATGAAGTTATATCAGACTTGCTTAAGCCAGACAGATCTCATTTGATGATTCGCCGCTCAGCCAGATAAGCCCGCGGAACTTTTATACCCGGTGCCTAAATTGAACCGGAGCAGAGGTTTGGAAAGGTTACCGGGCTCCTGCCACGCCACACAGAACAACAGTAAGCAAGTGGGGGAATCAGAGTGCATGCAAGCTTTGCAGCATTGGTTTGGCGCGCTTTGCCGCATGCAATGCAAATCTATGATTCCCAGGTGAAGATAAAAGACGAGGGGTGTTTGTTGAGGGCCTCTCTGAATGGCTGTGCAGAAGTCCTGATGAAGTGACTCGAGAGCATTGTTCAGATTTGACTAGTAACAAGTGCATCTCTACTAGTAGCAAGGACGCTACTGGGGGCTCCTGGCCGTACTACTAGGAGCAACGCTACTAGTAACAATGCTCTCGACAATCCCCAGGTGCAGACGCTGATGGAGCATGGGTCCAGTGCTCGTGCCACCGCCCAGACTGGCGCCAATGATACTTCCAGCCGATCTCATGCTGTTTTTATCATCGCTAGGGCCTCAGTGAGGAGTATGCGTGACTGGGAAAACAAGATGGAATTCACTTTGCAGAATGGAGATTGCTACCAAGTTTGGGCAGCCGGCACTGTTCCGTCCACAAACATGTGTTTGCTGTTGACCAGCTGGTGGGGCAGCTTCAAATGCCAAACTGTTGCCTTACCAGAAAAGTCTACACGTTTGGAGAGAGAGAGAGAGAGAGAGTAAGTCATGAAAAAGGAAACATGGTCCGACAAGAATCCAAAAAACCTAAGGTTGTGGAACGGTCTGAGAAGTTCATGGAAGGATCCCAAAGCCTCACGGGGCGATTAAACCTGGTGGACCTGGCCGGGTCAGAGCGACCACGCATAACAGGCATCTCGATTCAACCATGAATGTGGCCCGCAATAGTCACACTGTGATGCGGTCAAGATGAGGTCAAGAGCACAATCAACGAATTGACAAAACAGAAGATAAGTAAGGCTTAGTCAGTAGAAGGAATTCCTTGAGATTCTGTTTGGTTCGAGCCTGGAGAGTAGAGCAATACCTGAGGTGCCACGGGGCAACGGTTGGAAGAGACCAAGAAGATCAATCAGAGCCTGTCTGCACTGGGTTCCTTTGCAAGATTGGAAGGTGCCAAGACAAACTATGACTACTCTTCCCATGCTTTGGACTATAAATTTGGACTTAAGTATATCTTAGGATCCTGTCATGCAGCAAACATATTGTTCTAGCAACGCATGAGACTGGGGATGGAGGACCTAACGGATCAGAAATGAGTGGCTCACGTGGGGGTCGACTTCAGCTTGGCGTATATAGTATTATATAGTTGCCTTGTCGGGGAGAGATCTTTGCAGTTTAAGCAGATCTACCGGAATACGATGCTTGCCTTGATTGGCCGTCATGATCTTCTTGGCCGAGTGTTTGCTTGGGCATCGAACCAACATAGGCCCTAGACATTTTGGTTTCCTAGATTCTGTTGTCGCAAGTCCCCTCAGACCAGCATCACTGCCAATAAGTCCTTCAGCATTTGGAGATATTTGGAGATTTGACAATTATGATACAGTGATACAGCATTTTGTCATGGTACACATGTACCTGCAGGGCTGCAGAACCCCCATGTGTTTTTTTGTGGTGCGTGGCCGGCTTGCTGCAAATGGTACGAGCTCCGCCAACACATATTCAGTCAAGCCGACACTTGCCCAAGGCAATGTCATTTCGGCGCTGACCGAGCGCAGGGCCAGATCCCACGTACCATACCGGGACTCCAAGCTCACGAGGCTTTTGGAAGACTCCTTAGGTGGCAACTGCCGGACTACCATGATGGAATCTTGGTTTGTGAACTTTGAACGGCCAGTATGTTTTGATTGAGTCATTTCAGACCATGTTAATTACCAGTAAGTTACTATGCTTGACTCTGGGGCCGAGAAGTCTTTCTCCTGAATGACAAATCTAAAGAATCACCGTTGGGTGTTTCAAGGCCATGGTATCGCCTGCTGCAGAAGCCTTTGCCGAATCTCTCTCTACTTTGAAATTTGCTCAACGAGCCAAAGGGGTAGTCACTACGCCACAGGTTCGGCTCTCACAACAGCAGTGGTGGAAAGACCTTGTAAGTTTTGCAAATTCTGCTCGCAATGGCACTATGTAGAGCAGCAAAACTAGATCAAAAAATGTAGCTTATGTGTCAGTCAGTAGCGGAAGTGTGACTTGTTATTGATTGGGTTCAAACATTTTTTCACTCGTTGACTCAGGTGAACGAGGACCTGGACCCACGCATGATGGCCAACAGGCTTTCATGCACTGCATACCAAGCTTTAGTTTCCCTCTGACTGCATGTTGCTGCTTCTATTCATTTCTGAACGTTGGAGATACATCAGCACAGTTAAAGGCTCACTCTATCACTCACATATGTCACGTGTGTGTGTGTGTGTGCCAGCTTGCGCCATCTCCAGGTACGAGGCTGAGATACGGCGACTTCGAACTGAATTGGCTGAGCGTGATTCGAGGTCAGCCATTCTGAGGCTACAAAGGAGGTGAAAGTTTTTTGGCCAGTGTTGTACTCCCGGCCAGGACTACAATTGATTTGGAGGGCTTCGAGTCTTGGATGGTATGTGGATGGATGCTTTGGATTGCTTCAACAGTTGCCCGCTATATAGCACCTGCAACTCCAGTGTCCTGAATCCGAGGACCCCCACAAGCCCCTTGCTGATATTGGAGCTCTTCGCGCAGACTTTTCAGGCAAGCAGGAGTCAGGAGGTCGTAAGTCGAGCAGCGGCAACTTTAGACTAGGAATGGGTGGTTGATGAAAGCACAATGTAGACAATTTTCTTTTTCCCCACCTGTCAGGTGAGGGTTGTTAAATGTTCGAAGAGGATCCCGCCTCATCCTTTGTATCCTCTCCTTGCACTTCCTCAACTGCCAGCTCCAGATCGCAGTGCGCACCGCCGGACCCGATCGTGACCTCCGGGCCTCAACCTCCAGTGCTCGATCGCAGTGGGTGCCCGCCGGACCTTGTCAGATAGACTGCCAGATAGAGTGTCAGAACGCATATGCCAGATGGAATGTCAGAATATGTGAGACGATAGAATGGCAGAATTTTTGCCGGAACATATCCCAGATAGAACGGCAGGGTTTTTGCCAGACTGTCCGATTTCATGGCAGCCAGAATGTTACAAGACAATTGCCGCATAAGCTTGCAAGATGGAAACTTTCTTTGATGGCAGAGCAAAAGTCAGAATACATGTCAGAGCACATGTGCAGACCAAAGCCGGTCGAAGTGTCACATCACATGTCAGACAGGAAAAAAGTCAGAACTCACGCAAACAAGGACGTCAGGACACAGCCATCCCAGCCCTCATGATAGGTGATGTGTCAGGGCACAAACCAGACTTGGTGCCAGAACATTGTGTCAGTCCGCTTGTTTGCCTTTGTCAGGCCAGTCTGTCAATACATGTGCCCCTTCTTCCCAATCACCTTTCAGGGCGGGGCTCGCTCGAAGTAGGGTATTTGATTTTGGCCTGTTCCTACACAATGTTGAGAAGATGCATTTTGGAGTGATGGGCCAGTTAACGTAATGCCTCCCCTACTGTACGATATGTTTTGGTGCCTACTTATATAATTTAGCACGGTGCCTATGAATTTAGTACGGGAGTACGCTCAGGGCGCGTGGTTAGTTTCCAGTAGTAGTGCAGGATAGTTCACGCAGGAATGGTTTGTGGGTCCTTTTTTTTCGGGGGGGGACGCACTTGGAGTGGCTGTTTGACAAAAGCACAATGTAGACAGTGCACAATGGATCATACTGGTGCCACCTGACAACTGAAAAGGATCGTTTCGATCGCGTAGATATGATCGTCGGCTGGCCTTCAAATCGCATCCCTGTATTTGTTGTGGTTGAACCTTGCCACGACTAAACTTCTCTACCACAATCCCAGGATATCCCAGGTTTCGGACAATGTTTCCCCCTTCCTTTGATGCGTTTTCCTTTGCCCGTGGGCCCCTTTTCATGATTAGTGGGATTTTCGATCACCAATCATTGGCTGCAAAAGCGGTTATCCAAAAGATGCCCAAGTTTAGATCCACAGCTGCAAGAAGCTGTCTATTATAGATGCTACGAACGATCCAGCACGCACGAAGTTGCCAGACCACGTTGCAGCACAAACAACGCTCTCTTTTCTATGGCGTAGGCTAAGGCTCAAGATCTAGCGAAGCTTCGACCCTCCCTTCTTGAGAAAGCGAAATGCACATGCACAGCAAAATGAAACACAGCACGATTTCAAGCTGAAATCTGACATTGGGGAGTGAGATTCAGCTGACATGGGCTTTTCAGCCTCGAACACATCGTTGGCAGGCTCTTCGAATCTGACTCTGCGGACCAGCACAGGTCTGAGAGATGTGCCAAACTTCGCCCCCTTGACAGATGTGGACATGGTGATGTCCAAAGTAAGTGCTGGGGTCTTCGGAACTGCGTGCTCGGTCACGCGCAATCTTGGCTTCCTGTTGGAGAGTCTTGTTCTCGACCTGCATCTGTTTGATGCGTCCCTTCATGACTGCTAGCTGTTCACGGAGAGACCGGATGGTCTTTTCCTGATTTTCCAGCTGTGACTCTAACAGTTCCACACGCTCTTCAGCAGCAAACTCCTTAAGTGATTCTGTCAGTTGCGGTTTTGCTTCCTGGCGGCAGCACTTGTTCAGAACATGCCAGAAAAACCAAACCATAGTCAAACAGCCGATCATGGCTGACACCATCAGGGCATTGAAACTGTTGAAGCTCGTGTCATCAGGAGAGGCAGCATCAGCTTCAGTCACACTGTTGGCCATCACAAGGGCCACCAAGGCTTCAGCCACATGCGAACGAGAAACACGAGGGCCACCACGGGTTTCGCTGATGGTCTGTTCTCGCTGCTCCTTGGTCTTCTTCTTAGAGGCAAGGAAGGCAGTATCTGACACCAACTGCACTAGCCTCCACGGTAGCGCTCGATGAAGTTCTGGCGAGCACTGACCTTAGTGAGACCATCTGAGAGCTGTCTCTCGCTGCTCACCCATCGCCATTGGCAGCTCATGTCTGCTAGGAGATCCTTGATCACCAAGCCCTCAATGGCCACTCGCTTGTCGGTGGCTTGTTGCACAGTCTCTCTGTGCACCACATCGTAAAGGGCCTTGCAGTCAGTGACCATGGCACAAGCACCATGTAGATCATCTTTGATCTCCTTGAGGCTTTTCTCTGGGTGTTTGAGCAGCTCCAAAAAGGTCTTCGTCAGCAGCAATTCTTCTAAGGCCGTTGCACAGACCTGACATTCTGCTGCCAATGAGCTTCGACATACTCTGGGCACTTTGAAGCTGCGCCAGGACAAAATCGAAGAACTTCTTTTCTCCCCTTGAAGCACACCCTTCTCACATGCCAGAATGATGTAGCCACCTTGAGACGACTTGTCGTTACGAGCACAAAAGGCGGCATCAGCATAGCAAACCAAACATATGTCGTCCAGGCTGGCCTCTTGCTTCTTCTTTGAATAGTGCTCTGGACGGGCCATGAACTTGAGGTTGACATTTGCGTTTGCTTTGGCAAATCTGAGGCTCTTGTTGAGCTCTTTCAAATCATGAACAGTGCCCTTGGGGACTTCTCCAGCTTGCAGGCTCATGGAAGCGCAAAGGCTTGGAACACCTTGAGTTGCCGGCCATTGAAGTGCGCCAATCAAGCCACGAGCAGCTGAGACTTCAGCTGGTGACACCTGATCGGTGTCCTTGCGCCCTTTGGCAATCGTCATCGGGCAGATCTGCTTGATGTACTCCTCATAGGAGACTTCAATGTCGGTGTTTGAGGTCATCTTGATGACTCCACCGCAGTACTTCAGTGGTTGACCAGTCGTCAACTGATCCCACTTGCCAAAGGAGAAATCCTCTTGAAGGTGACTCATTGCCTGCTTGAAGATCGGGTCAGAGGGACTGCCCGTCAGGAGAAAATCATCGACGTGCACGATGATTAAGCCAACCAAGGGACCTGGCTTGTCACCCTTGTTCTCGCCTTGCAGCATGAAGCAACAATTGTCGAGGGGATGCTTCTTCCAATTTCTCCGAAGGAGTCTTGATGAGGCCTTCTCATACCAAAGCAGAGGTGCATCGCAAAGGCCGTATGCACTTTTGCACATCTTCATGTATAGGTGTTTGTTGTACACCTTTTGAGTGGCTCCATCGATGAGAGGAAGGCAATCCATCGGCAGTCGAACAACCAGCAAACGATCAAAACTTTTGCCAGAAAGAAACGCGGCCTGAACATCAGCACAATATAGGGACCAGTTGCACCACACTGTGCACATCAGGAGAAAGGTCCGTGCAGTTCTGCCAGCAGTAGGGGCTGCCGTCTTCATCGACAAAATGTCAGGGTCTTGAAACCCTCTCAGGACCAAGCGGGCCTTCGCTTTCCACCTGACCACGCCATCATCTGAGTCAATCTTCTTCCAAGTGAGGACCCAGCGAGCTGTGATGATCCTTTTGTCCTTGATGGAGATTCGGTGGTAGCGAACTTCCAAACTGCATTGCCAAAATACTGATCCAATTCTTTTCTTTTGCCATCAACGAACTTGATGCGGTCTTCTGGAGACAGCTTGCGTTCATTGACTTCACCTTTTCGGATGGCGGCCATGAGAACATCATCAAGTTCCAAACATCCGTCCACCACTCGCCAGCCTTCTGGGGCGTCAGCTGGCAGTTCAGTGAAGAAGACATCTTCGATGACCAAATCATCGTCATCTGTTGGCAGAGGAACAGATGCTGCATCCATTGGTGCAGTCTCTTCAGCAATTGGCTGCAGTGCAACGCCTTGACTTGGCCTCAGTGGAGAGGATCGAGCAACCTTTCCACGAGGTTCTGCTTCAGCTGCCTCGGCCATCTTCCTTTTAGGACTGGATGGAGGCTCATCCATGTCATGCTCTGAGGGAGGTGCTGTTGACGGCTCATGTCGCCTTGGAGTTCTTTCACGGTCCTCATGAGCAAGTCGTGGCAAAAAGACGCTCACGACGCCAGGAAGTGGCTCTTTGGCATCATCATCATCGGGTGACTTTTCATCTTCATCAGAGCGATCTTCTGGAAGGTGATCGCCAGGATCTGTGGGTCTGTGGGCTCATACTCAGCTTCAAATTCTCCTTGGAGTTCATCAATCTCTTCATCTTGACCACCTCTTTTGAGCTCATCACGGAACTGAGTGGTACTTCGGGCCTTGAGATCTTGAAGATCCTTGAGAGCTGCCTTTGGATCACTTGTCACGGATCTAATGAGGGATGTGCCGTGACAAAGCCAGTAGACATTCACGTTGGGCTGCTCCTCAATGGCCACAATGCGAGCTGGGCCTCGCCAACCAGATTTGTGCAACTTGCGAAGGTTCTTTCGCCAGTACCAAACACGTTGCCCAAGAACCAAATCTTCTTGCATCTCAGCAAACTTCTGTGTGAAGGCTCTTCGGAGTTTGGCGTCGGAATCAGCTGCCAGAAAGGCAACAGCAGCATTCTTCCTCTTGAGCTGAACCTGAGCAAAAGCACCTTGTTCATCGATGGCTTCTTGAGCTGGGTTGAAAATCTCTCCAGACAGGCCATGGACGTAGGTCATGGACTTCCCAAGTACCCACTGCTGTGGAGTGAAGCCACGATGGAAGGACAACTGGTTGATGCTATGAGGAACATAACGAACAGCTTCCTTCAAAGCTTCTTTGGAATGGCTTTCACACTGATCCATGTAGAGCTCCAGGGCACGACGAACAACTTGATGTTTTCGTTCAACAACACCTAGCCAGCTGTGGTTTTCAGCAGGTTGGACTTCCAAGGAGATTCCTCTCTGTGTTGCCCATTCCCGAACATGAGTGCTGCTCCATCCCTTGGCCTCATCGATGCGAAGGATCTGAGGTTGGCCAAAGTGCTTGATCCAACTTCGCTCGAGTCCTTTGTGAACTCTTCAGCCTTTTCGCTCTTCAAGAGGCGAATGGCAACATACCTCGTGGCATGATCCACGATGGTGAGGACGCACTGTCGTCCCGTAGGCCGCTTCTCCTTGATGTCCTTTGCTTTCCGGCGTGCTGCCGGTGTGCCAGGGGCAGGCTCCCTTTGCTTCACCATGCTCTCGTCACAGGAGATCCAATGCGAGTCGACAAGGATTCGCTGGTTGAACTCTGTGCACTTGAGTCCTGAGGCAGGTGGAGTCTGCTTCGGTGGTTTCCTGGCATAGCAAAGAGGACAGGTGTAGTACTTGGCGGCCTTGAGCACATTGTCAGTGGCTTGTACTTCACGAAGCATGCGATGGAGAATCTCCCATCCTGGATGCCCCAAGTTCTTGTGCAGACGTTGCACATACTCCACTGACCTTGGGCCGACTTGTGCACGCAGGATCTTGTTTCTGCGGACAGGATCAAGGCTTTGGAAGTCTTCTGAGTCCATGTCCTGGATGTTGACTGAGGGCACAACAGGGACTGGTGCATCTTCAGTCGCTGATGCAGGTGGTTGTGGTTCATCAGGTCGTTGCCGCTTGCGTTCACGCATGTAGGCAGCAATATCTTCTTGTGCATCAGTCACAGCAAAGACATTCTCAGTGGACTCAAGTTCCTTCAGGATGCAATTGACAAGATGAGTTGCCAAGGCTTGTGGATAACTTTCAGCAAGCCATGAGCGAAGTCCAACACCAGGAACACTGCCCTCAAGATGGGTGTGCTCATGAGAACCATCACAAACACGTGTCAGCTTCTCAGCACATAGCTGACTGGTAACTCGAAAGGTTGTGGACTTCTGAACAGGCAGCATGCAGTTGAGCTCATTGGGCAACTTGAGACCGAACATGCACTGATCAACTTCAGCATCAAAACCAAGCATCTGCTGAAAGGCTTGGGTCTGCCAGGCACGGCTCTTCTTCGGATGCTCCAGCAAAGCAAGGCGGCCATGACGCCGCTGCTCCTCAAAGACAATCGCACAAAACATGAGGATGTTCTGATGATCCCAGTCACGTGCCTCCTGTAGGCGTGCAGCATAGCTCGGATCTTTGGCGACCGTGAGCTCTTGAAGCATACTCCATAGCTTGCACATGGGAGACAGCAGAACAACATCAGGTTCTTCATCACGAAGTCTCCTCAAGAAAGCTGTGCGATGCGAGGCTCGAGTGAAGTCCCAATCATCGGCCAAGGAGAAGCGCTCGGCACTGAGATTCTTGCGCCGATTGGCCGTGGCAGTGACTCTGCCTTCACCAGCAAACACTTCCCACAATCGGAACTTCTTGTCATAGTGCTGGATGGGACATGCTCGCAAAACATCATCACACTCTTTGAGCCTCCTCTGAGTGTCATGGAGGAGAGCTGAGAGCTTGCCACCAGGCAAACGCTGACGTTCATCACGATCATCATCAGCATGGTCGGGACCTGGATCTAAGGTATGCACCTCAGTGATGACCACATCATCATCGGAGTCATCTTCGCTGTGTCGACAAAATTCCAAATTCTCTGAATTCTGAGCTGGTGTGACCTCTGACTCGACAGAAGGACTTGCACTCTTCTCACACGCAGCAACTGGCTACAATGCCAAAATGGACTTTGCAGCTGTGAAACTGGTCACATTCTTCTCCTCCAACACACTGTGGACTGAATCCTCAGAGACATTCAGCATTGAAACTGACTTGCCATCATAAAAGACACCAATATCGAGGATCTCAGGATGGACGTGTTGCTCAAAATCATCAGGGAGGAGAACATTGTTTGGCTCCTTCTTCAACAACTTGGTGACATCAGCAGCCATGTGGCACACAAACTCACCCTTCGTTCCGCGAAGGCATTTCTTCCAGGCCTTCTTGCCCCACTTGATGCGACCGGCAGCGTAGTTGATCGAGATGTCCAGGGCTTCAAGCAATGGCCTTCCAAACAGAAAGGGTGCATTCCCTGGGATGATGTACATCAACACATCACGTCGCTTGCCCTCCATGAAAGTGGGAACCAAAACACATAGGGTGGTGATGTTTTGTTCACCGTTGCCAAATCGGAACCCCTTCTTGCAGCGAAAGACAGGAATGTCTGCGACGTTGAAGCCTGCAGTTTCCAAGACCTTGAGGTAGTCTTTGAGCCTCTGTTCACTGGTCAAGACACTGCCAGCACCACAGTCCATCGTTGCGACATCGTGGACTTCTCGCTCATCAGCCTCAAGTGTCAACTGCACTTCCTCGATCTCGAGGTTCTCAACCATGTTGACATCAGCGTCGGCAGAGGATTCTGCCTTGCGCTTGCCAGCGCCAGCGGCTGGGCAATTCTTTGCACGATGTCCAGCTTGACCACAGCGAAGACATCTTTCAGCGCCCATGACGGCGCGTCCGCGAGCTTTCGCGGATGGAGGCTTAGGAGCCTGCTTGGAGCCAACCACATTGCCAGAGCCCTTCTTTCCTTTGGATTTGCTCTTGCCCTTGCCCTTGGAGTTGCCTTTGGAGGTCATGAAACCCTTGTAGGTGGAACCACCTTGGTCAGGAACCATGGCAACAACGGGGTAGTAGCCGCGAGACATGCGCATTTGGTTCAACTTCTGCCTGGCTTCAGTGTAGCCAGCCATAACATCATCATATTCAGCGGCCATGTCATCGTTGGCCAAGAGAACAAGCTCATCATCAAGCTCCTCTTCTGACAGAGTGGCACCATCAAAAGCTTCGGCACCTTCGGCCCAGTATGCAGGGTCGTAATCTTGTTCTTCATAGATTTGCTCGAGGTCAACGTCCGAGTCGTAGTAGATGGTGTCCTTATAGGATGAGGACTTGGCACCCCATCGACCAGAGGACTTGTAGCCTTCAGATTCAGGGACACTGTCCTGGCCGATCACAAAGTTCATCGACTTGCGGACTGTCTCCAATGACAGGGTCTCTGAACCAATGCTCGACATGATGAGCTGCCTTTGAGCTTGACTGAGGCCTGCACGGCGCAAGTAGTACCAGCCAACAACCTTCTCGGGGAGAGTCACGCTGTGGCCTTCCAGCTTCCTCAAAGCACGTTCAAACTCGGCTGAGTACTCTTGCAATGTTGCTCCTTTGCGTCGCTGCAGGGAACAGAAGAAATTCTCAAAGTCACTGGGGAGCTCGGTGATGCTGTCATACTTGAAGACCTTATCCAATCGCTCCAGCACTTTCTGCATTCCAGTGGAACCTTCGAGTTCTTCCATGGGGATGTCCTCAACGGCGTCCCATGCACGGCCCTTCAAAGTGCAAAGCACGTTGAAGCTTGTCTCCTTTTCACGACCCGCCAGGGTCATCTTGCGACTGTAGAGCAAGAGACGCTTCCGGTACTCCTTGTAGTCCGAAGCTCGGCCGTTGAACTCAGGGACATTTTCATGGGCTTTTCCAGCATACGAGGTGGAGGTGGATCCTGAAGCTCCTGTCGCAGCCATGAGGTGCAATCGAACAGCTCCGCGCCACCAACTACGAACGATCCAGCACGCACGAAGTTGCCAGACCACGTTGCAGCACAAACAACGCTCTCTTTTCTATGGCGTAGGCTAAGGCTCAAGATCTAGCGAAGCTTCGACCCTCCCTTCTTGAGAAAGCGAAATGCACATGCACAGCAAAATGAAACACAGCACGATTTCAAGCTGAAATCTGACAAGATGTATTTTGTAGTTTGACACTTTATACATCGCCCCAACACATCTTGTATGAAGAAACCTCTCATGAATAATATGTTTGGTTTGGGTTGGATTCCCTCTCCTTTTCATCAAGCTTCGCCTAAAAATGGATCCTGGATACCTGTGGTACTTGTGGGACTTTTCAGTACGACCGATAGTGGATAGTGGTTCAAGATGTGGCCTTGACTGGCATGACTCACTGCATATGACTGCCGATTGGCGGGATCGATGAGATTCTGCAGTTGGCAGGTGGGAAAACCGGAAGTTTGTGGAACCGCCAGAGAGAAGAAGACAAGGCAAGCAGTGGGCGACTGCATGATGGACAACTGCATGGACGATCAATGAATGAATTGAATACAGTATATAATAGTTACTAGTTGCTGTTTGGCTAGAACCCGTGCAAAGGAGGAGTGGTTGCTTCCAGGGATTTTACTGTGGGTTTGGAAGGCGCCGGCCGGTAGATACAAGCAGCTTCTTCTCAAGCAGCGAGCACATTGGAAGCAGCGAGCATAAGAAGTATTCAGCTTTTTTGTTGCCCCCTTTATATGGCCACATGTTGAGCTGTGCGGCTGAATCTAAGGACATAATGATAACCCTGACACAGCGACTGCATGAACGTGATGAAACTATCATCGGATTGCAGGCACTTAGATTGTTAGCTTGTCCGAGTGAGAGAGGTACAAGTTGTTCTCATTCCCGAACTAGAGGCAGAGCTGGACGCGCAAGACCAAAGAGTCAGAGAACTTCAAGAGCGTTTTGAACGTCAGGTCATTCACCAAGTCAGGACTCAGTGCTATTGAATATCACGATACGCCGTTGGAGTTGGTGCTCAAACTTTGTCCAATGAGGCACTCCGGCTGGCTGCAGCCGAAAAAGCACTGCAAGCATCCTCAAAGGCAAACATGGCGAATGTGGGCTCAGGCAAGTTATAGCAAATCCGAAACTGTAGTGCTGGCTTTTACAGATTTGACAGTACAAGCATAATTAACTGCTGGCACTTTGTACGAATAAGAAGAGCGACAAGGACATGAAGGGATCAGAAGAAAAGAACGGAAGAAACAAGATCACCAGATAGCCCCAGTGCCCAAGCTTGGACTAGGCTCTTGGCTGAGACGAGAGGCACCAGATCAAATTGGCTCCCCGGAAGCGGCTCAGATCAAATGTGGCGGAACGTAGTTGCAGCGGATTGCATTATGTTTTTTGCATTTGTTTGCCCCATTTGGTGCATGGACACCTGTTACTTTGTGTCACATGGGGTGTTTACGCTTAATAGCTCGATGATTAACTCAGTATCCAGTATCCATGCTTGTTGTTCCGCATTCGTCAGACTTTGTGAGGCGGGAGAGCTAAATGCTTTACCCAGATATTTGCCAGAGAGAAGCTTTGCTGGATGTAAGTCAATGAGCAAAACCATGCAGTTTGCTTTGAGTTTGCTCCAGCTCCATCCTTGTCATGTTGACCCTTCTGGTCCTATTTAAGCTGCAAGCTTGCCATGGAGCAAATCAATGCCTGGTTCAGGGGCTCAACACAAATCTCGACTTTTCCCCTTTCCCCGTCGGCCCTCGTTTTGTGTTGCTCAGGTAGACTAGACTCTACCCCTCAGTGTTCAGACACAGGTTCCTTGGATGAACATGGCAACCACTGCCAGTTTGTAGTTGCAGAGGCTGAAGGCGTTGTTACTCACCCTCGTGTTGAATGGCTGCGAGTTTGCACACAGAATAGGGTTATCAGCTTTGGTATGCAGCAACAACAACAACAACAACCTGAGCCCCCGAAGTCCTCGCTGATATGATTTGCAATTTAGCTACCAACAAAAACTTTGGTCCACAAAACGAAGACGCATGCCACAACAATGCTCGTTAACTTTGCAAAAGGCAGCAAGACGTGTTACGTGTTGTCTTGCGCCAGTCGCATAGGCAGTGTTGTTTGAATAAACAATGGTCAGTTCTGCATTGATCCTCTACTGGCAGTGCAAGCCTCACATTTGCAACATCCTGCACTTCCTAGAGTCCCAAAGCCTTTTCGAGCCTTTCGATGGTGCACTTTGACCCGTGCCCCGTATCTATCCATTGTACCAAGTGTTCCTTTTGCGACATGTAGCCAGCTACTTGGTGCTTGACCATGCTCCGAATCTGTTAAACCATCACAATGCGGCAAGGTGGAGGGAGGTATGGCCAGCGGCTTCTCAGTGCAGATGACAAGGCACGCCGGCGGAAAGTGCATGGGTACAACAATGCTGGACCTGCTCAGTGCTTGCCAAATGCATGGACGAGTTAGCGGCCAGCGCAGCGTAGCCACGATATTGCTCGGATGAATGTGTCCTTTTCGGATGGTAGCACTCTCCTAGGAAGGGTAAGTGCATTGCCGAGCCGATTGCAATGCCTCGGCTCAAGTTTGATTTCTCCCACGCACAACTCTTGAGACAAAAGCCAATCAGCAGATGCAAACTCGCAGCAAGTGCACAAAGTGAGAAAGTACGATTTGGGGATATAAGTCGACATAAGCACTACTGTAATATGTGTGAGTTCGCTAGGACGGCCCCTTGCTTCGCATTACATTGCTGCATTGCATTGCCTTTTGTGGAGCTTATTCAATGCCGGGAGTGCCACATCGTCATTTCAGCAGTGGGGAGTCATCGTTAGTAGGTCCAGAGTCTTCTATACGAGAAGAGGGTATTTTCCTTACCGAGGATGACAGTCTTACAGACGATTCTGTTTCAGATTTTGGAGTGGAAAGCGATGCTGATGACTCTGTCCGGCATGCTATAATCACCGAGCCAGAGTCGTTTTGGGAAGAAAGCTCATGGATGTCAATGGTACAGCAAAGCATCACATCAAGCATCGAGGAGCGTGAGAATTTAATTTTGGAGCTGAAGGAAGTTTTGGATGCTGCAGTGCGGGAGCGCTTAGAGTGGCAAAGAAAGGTGAAAGCTATGCGCCGCTTTCGGATCCCTCCGGAACCCGGGCATTGGCATCAATCTGTTTCTTCTGCCTTGACTTGGAGGACCCGTGAAGTTGAAGCCCTGCGGAAAGAGATTCGGCACCTTGAATTGAGACAAAGAGATGAAAGGCGGGAGTTTAGTCAACTACGAGCTCGACAGAAGAGAAGCACAGCCAACTCACTTCGCACTTGGTGCAGCCGCAGCACCTTGCAGAGCGGCTTTTCATGCAGCATGCACTCAAAGTCCAATATCTCAGCTAGTTCAACGACCACACGATTCAAAGCTCCGAAGAAGGGGTTGCGTAGCTTGGGCCCTGATGTGCATTTGATCCTGGACCATACTCTCGGTGATCTGGGCAAGGGCAAAGGGATGCCTGAGGTCCGCCCTTTGGGTGGATTGTGTGCTCGAGCGCGGCAAGGAAACAAGCAGGCTTGGTTATTGAAGAATCTAAAATCTAAATCTACTTTAAATAGGTTCGAAGAGTAACACTGAGGGAGTTTGTTAATGTGGTGGGGTACTGCTTGCATTTGTTTGCAAGTGTCATCAAGTTTCCGTATGTTTCCTGTAGGTGCACATATGGGGCTGGGAACCCAAAGACTACTGCTTCCGAGATGAGACTGGCGCGAGTGCCTCCTTCACGCTGCCCGAGCTGCCTCGCTTGTCAGAGCGTGAAGCTATAATTGAGGCCCAACTTCTTCAGGAGGTCATGAACGAGATCGAATGACGATTCGAAGAACGTAAACATAAGAGCTACTAGTAGCTCCTGGCCTTACTACTAGGAACAAGAAGCTACTAGCAACAAAGGACATCCCTACTAGGAGCAATGACGCTACTATAAAACCATTTGATAAGCAACTTGGGGGGGATCCAAGAACAGATGAACGGAGTCCTGGACCCGAAAATCATTTGAATCAGTGAGGACGTGGGATGCATGGCTGAAGCCTCCCACGTACTTTGAGCATGCAGGAGAAAAGCTCCAGCAGCAAATGTGCTATGCGAAGAAATTGTGGTGATGGAAGTGCCAGTAGTACCTCAAGTCCGCACGCTGCTCAAATCTTAATAAACCACACCAAAATGTCCCCTCTCGGGTCTTGAATCAAGCATGCTTTTCTGGGACAGGGAAGCTTGTAAACAAGATTCGCACAGCACAAAACATCCGTTTCACCTGTGTCAAACGTCGAAATTCGGCAGGGCCTTGCAAAGCGTGCAAGGAAGGGTGTTTTTTGATGTCCATGTCAGAGTTCCCATTGGCTGCATTGGTGTGCAAAAGTGCCAACTGCCCGGCCAAAGTCCAAGCTATACTTTATAGTATAATTGAGACTTATACAGACTTATAGTATATTAAACATGAATACACAAAGACTTGCATATGAAAGATATATAAAGACTTATAAAGATCATTAAAGCATATTGAATCTGTTTTCAGGTTGGCAATTGGCTGGTACATAGCATAAACACCCAGAGGAAGAACAAGAGGGGTATGCTCAAAAGGAGGTGTGATGTAGATGCTTTCACTTCTCGGCGTCGATGCTTACGTTATTTCTTAATTTCTGACAAGTTTGGTGCAGGATGAGTGATGGTGGATAGAGCAGGCTTTATGATGCTGCAAATGTTATAATGCCAACACATTGGGATGGCAATGCCAAGCGTGATTATAATCACAGCGTGTCTCGCCGCCAGCGCACCACAAAGACATTGTCATGCTTTCTCGCTTGGAGGTCTTGGAGTTGACTTCACTTCTGGAAACCCAACGACAGGAGAATCACAGGACTCCTGACACGTGCTCAGTATGTAGATGAAGAACAAGCGCAATAAACCAGTGGCAGACAAATAGATATCCGCATGAGTTAGACCAAGTATCACCGGGTGTATTGTTTTGTGTTGTGGTTACATGCGCAGACAATCGATACCCTTTCACACCATAGACTGACATCAAGAACTGCCATCCATTTGACTTGCTGCTGCTATTGCCTACTTTCCCTCAGGATGAAATTGGAGCTTGAAGCCATGCAGCATTCTATGCTTCCAAGTGACGGCATTCCATCGGTTGCTGCCACTATGGCACAGACTTTGGGCGCAGAGCCTTGCCTTCATTGGTCGGACCTGCCATTTGAATCCATTTGAGTGAACAGTGTTTGTCCAAAATGAAAATGCGAAAGCGCTTGGAGAAGCTTTTACACAAGCCACAGGCAGTGTTCCTCGGTGCATTCTTGGCTCCCGAGGATGTTGCGTGGGGCAATGAGGGGCTTCACTTCCGCAACTTGGCTTGCCATTTGAATTGAAGAGTCTCGGGGCCAGGAATTGGAGAGCTTGTAAATGCTATCATGAGCTCTATATAAACGTATATGACTCCTATGTCTTTTGGAGGTGACCGGCTGCATTTAGCCGAAAAGGATGCTGGTGCAGACCGTTTCCGCCAAGGCTTGGCATAGTGAGCCTCAGGGCTGTGGGGGTGACAACTGAAATGTTGTTTTGGGGACCATTTTTGCTCCTAGTAGCGATGCCAGGAGCTACATGGAGCTACTACTAGCGTCCTTGCTCCTAGTAGTAAGATGTAGTAAGGCCAGGAGCCCTTAGTAGTGTTCTTGCTCCGCTCCGCTCAAAAGCAGTTTGTGCCTGTGATTCATTGTGATTGTACTCTCGTAAAATGTGCCTTTGATGCTGGCCCAGGATGGAGTCCAAGCCTTCCTCATGCATTTGCCTGAGCTCATTGTCTCGGCATTTCTACGACTGAGTTAACGCATTGGCCCTTGGGAGATGTGCCATGAAGGGGTGGGGCTGAACCACTTGCAGATTCAACCATGAAGCAGCAAGCGTGATGCAGATGTCAGAACAAGTCGAGAAGTTGGCTCCAAACAGCATTAGATGCAAGTGGTTCAAGGGTTTTCTGGGGGTGACCAAACAGGCCATGGCTCAAAAAAATTGCGATCATCGCACTTTCAAGATGGGCAGTTGTACTGGCATTCCTGCACAAAAGCCGCTGCAAGAATTTGTCACAGCCGTTTGGCTCCAATGAACCCCGAGACTGTCGCGATCATGTTCATTTTGAGTTCCTCAAATCAGAGCAGGTCTGAATGACAAAGCGTGAGCGAGCACGTTGAACCTGACCCCTCGGCAAAACACAATGCACCTTGCAGAGGGCGATGATCCCTTGGGCGCGGACACCAAAGAAACAAGACTTGAGAAATTCTTGAGAAACAATTCTGACTGCGATGCAAAGTCCTGGGCACTCCTTCCTTTCTCCCGGGGATGCTCCGCAAAGACCTGAGACTCCACTTTCAGACTGACGCATGTGGATAGGAAAAACAAGAATGGCTCATTGCGTCCGCAAGGAATTTGAGAGCTGTGATGAGTGCTGCGGTTGATGCCTACCTTTGGACAGAAAGGCATGAATCGCTGCAGAAAACTGCTGCAAGTTTTGTCAGCATGCATCACTTCACTCTGAGCAATGCACGCGCCACCAACGGCTCAAACATGGCTCCTGGATTAGGTACAGATAAGGCCAAGGCTTCGGCTTCACCCGAACAGAATTTCAATCATAAGCGTCATAAATGTCACAACATCCAAAACAGCACACCGTCAGGCAGGTAAGTTATTATGAAGATCATGAAGCCTTGCGGGTGATTTGTTGCAGGGGATCCGTTCACTAAACTCCCCGCGCTGCGCTTGTGGCCACAAGATGATCGTCAGGCTCTTGAGGTGGGAAGCCACCCATGTTGTGAAGTTGGGCCCCCGAGGCTGTGTGAATCTTCACGAAAGCTTGAAAGGACCAATTATGAAGCTCTCAATGCTTTGTAAGTGGGAGGCTCGCATTATCCAGCTTACCGGCAGCCCTGTCAGATGCAGTTCTGTGGCTTTGCCAGAATGGTTTTGTGAATGTGTCGTAGAAAAATCACCAAAATGGAGAAGAAGCAAGCATCTTTAGCATCCCCTTTGATTTGCTTGAGGACAGACTGGGAGCAGAAGGTGGTCTCCCATGTTGAAGTGGTGGCACAGGAGTTGTCAGAGGCGCCAGAAAATCATTGTTCAGCGTGGGCACTGGCAGAAGGTAAACCTGAACTTTTGGCGAGAACAATGCCTGAAGGTTTTTTGTAGATTTGGATAGCTATGGGCCCGTTGCTACTGAGAACCACTAGGAACCAAAGTGTGTTTTTATACTGGAATCCCTGTGCCTCTGCAGAGAGAGAGAGAGAGAAAGAGAGAAACTCTAGAAAGCTCATATGGACGGTTCACTGGCAGTCTAGGTCCTGATGGTCTTGAATATTTGGCAAGATTGTTTGTGCCAACAGATTTTCTTAGGCCTTGTGGCCTTGTGTCTTCAACATGAGGTTTTGTGTTAAGATGTTGTTCAGCAGCTGTTTCATGAACTCATGTTGAGTGATATCTACACAGGCGGCAGTGCCAAAACTCTTGGCAAAGCTCGACTCCACATCTTTCCGCGAGTGGCTGAGTCGGGATGATGAATGATACAAAACGTGCTTCCCTCCTGCAGCTAGCATCAGCCCATTTGAATGACGGTCGTTCACTAGGATGAATTCTAAGGAGAATATCTCGACCAATGCTGCCCATCTGTATCGCGGCTCTCTTCGCAAGAGCTTTTGGAACAACTTACCAGACATTTGGAGGCAAGGCAACTCAGTGGGCCCAGTTGCTGTGAGCGGAAGGGTGCAATTTGTTCCCAACATGTTTTTGGCTGAGTATGGGCAATCCATCGAGATGCCCACCGCGCATGCGTTACTTCTCTCATCGTTTCTACCTGTTTCACAGGCTGCAGAAGTGGTTTCTGGCTTCCCCGCTGTGATAGCAGCTTAGTCGCATGTATAGCTGCGCAGAATCGAGATTGGTGTCAGTGGCTACAAACCTTAAATGCGTTTTGAAGAGATGCCCTGAAAGAAGTGGCAGGATCCTGCGCAGATGTACCCAGACTCTGCTGGCATGTCGGTGGATTACCTCAATGGATCTTTTTTCCTGCAACTTTGCAACAACTCAAGCCTGAAATGTCTCGAAGTCAACATGGAATGGCATTCATTCATTCTTGTGCGAAGGAATGACTGGCAAGCTGTTCCTTGGCTTTTGCAAACAGGATTTAGTTTGTTGTTTTGCGAAAACTCCGATAATCACAAAAAGCTTGTCTGAGACGGTCTCAGCTACGTACCTGAGTTGGCTTTGCTTCAGCAAAAGTGTAACTCCGTGTAACGTATTGGAATAGGCTAGTCCCCTTCATTTGTGATACTGGCACACCCGCGGACCCATCTGGGTATGGCTCGGGTTTCGCCTTGATACTCTTCTGGTCATTCCCACAGACATGGAAGGTGACTTGCGTTGCAGGGTGGGACGGTCTTGAGGAGGTCCATGTTTCACGTGTTCATTATTACGGCAGTGTGTGAGCATACATGGAATATCATGGAATTATATATGGAATTGTAATCTTAGATCTTGAATGTTTGCGTGACTTTTTAGGTGGAAAAAACACAGCACAGCTGGCATAGCTCATTCCGGGAATGACGTTTTCCAGCATACAATGTCTTTTTGAGGGCACAAAGGGTCCTTCTCTTCCTAAGTTAGTATACTGCAACAACTAACTAGAGCCCCTAGCACGACAGCAGCAGACCTTACATACACGTTCACTTCTTAGAGGAATGCCCAGATTGCTTGGTGCCACCCTGTTGTTTCTTTCACAACATGAGCCATTGGCCTTCGCAAAAAAAAAGACACCTCTTCTTGCTTGCGATCTTGCTCTTGCTACTTGTATGTGAAATGCACTCGATGCAATCATCCCTGAACATAATTGATTGCTTCATGTGTTTCTTTGCTTTTACATCTGAAGCTCACACACTAGCTTGGCAGGGGCCGTACCGGTAATAGCCACACGCTACGACTGGGAACACCTTTTCGTCCCGTGAGAGCAGAGAACGAGATTGCACTTCGAGCGCTGAAGGGGAGCAAGCTATTCACACCACTCCCACGCGCAACCTGCGTTCCACCTGCCCTTTTTCCTATTCAACACCTACCTCTTCATCCTGAATTGCTACCAGTGTGTGTGTGTGTGTGTCCACTCCTGTTTCCAAGGACACTACCCTAGCTTTT